CAGTTCCCTCCTGTCTTTTTCAAGGTCAGCGCTTAATTCCTTTACAGCTAGTACTTGGATGGGAAACTTTTTCAGGACATAGTTTCCAAGCACCCAAGAACAAAGGAGTGGCAAACTTTTTTTTTAAAAAAAACACAACTGTACAATCTAATGCATATTTTCCTAAGCAAGTCTTAGTTTCTTTTTTATATGCTGCTCCTGGCAAGCAAAGGCCTCTTTCTTCAAACGTTTAGATAAGTTTCAATGGCTGTCTCTCTCTCTCTCTCTGGGGTGCTTGTTCAGAGGCCTTGATGAGCTGCTGCTGCTGCTGAATATACAGCAGTGAAAACCAAGGAGTAGAACCGAAGACAGTTTTGGTGATCGTGGAACCAAAGGAAAAAAAGAGTCTTTCCTTGCTATGTATACAAGTGTTATTAATGTGACTTTGTTAAGTGGTAGTTAGAAAGTGAGTGACAAATGTATCACATTAATAACAAATGTATCTAATACATTTCTCTCAATTTCCAAGTTATCAGACTTGGATAGCGAAACACGCAGCATGGTTGAGAAAATGATGTATGATCAGAGGCAGAAATCAATGGGGCTTCCCACATCGGATGAGCAAAAGAAGCAGGACATACTGAAAAAGTGAGTAAGGCCAGTTTGACACTGTGAAGAAGGGAGCAATGGCTTGTTTCCAGCCTGCCTCCTAATAGTGGGGAAAGGGTTGTGGTATTTATTTATTTGCGTTATTTATTAGATTTGTGTTGCCGTCTATTCGCCATTTTTAAGGACAGCCCAGCAAGTAAGTGCTATGTAGAGACTACAAAGCCAGGTAGTACCATCTCGGCCTGAACTATGACGTGGTGTCTCTGCCTCTAATCTCCCTCTGCCTTCCAAGTCAGATAACACCGCTCACTAGACAATCATGAATTTTATTGTTTTATTGCCCTGCTTGTCAGAGATCTCAGTAGAAGCTTCTGTGAGTAATTCCCCTTTTAAGGCCAGATTGGGTGATGCGCATCGTTGCAAGCAGGGTAACTAAAGTTCAAACGCTTTTCATTACTCATTCTAAATAGCACAAGCAGAGAAAGGGGATAAAGCCAGAAGTGGGGGCAATTTCTGTCTCTTTCCCTGGCTAATCTCCATAGGCACAGTGTCACGGCTTGGATATGAGGCCTTTTTCTAGTATCAGTAGTGGCGTATTCAAACAAGCAACGCTTTTCAGAAAATATATAATTTTTGTTCAGGATGTTGCACCGCATTTTAGCCCTGTCAGTCCACCAAGAGCTGTTTGCCTTCCTCCTCCTTCCAAGCTCTCCACTGTATCTCTTCTTTGGGTCTTAATTCTTCCATTATGTGTGATATCATTAAGGGTGTTCTCAGTTAATAATTCAACTATTTTACAGATTGGCTCATTAAGAAGTCTTGGAAAAGTGCCATTCAGCTCCAACGATATTCTTAATTTGTCTGTTAGCTCTGAAACTTTACCCTTTGCCCTTCTGCTGGGTAATGTTTTCAGATAGTGCGGAAAAAGTGACCCCATGAAGTAGTCACAGGTGTCAAGTACCAGTAAATAAAACAATTCGGGTGGGGGGGAAATGGTGTGCTTTCAGGTGATCAGTGAAATCCATGTACTCTGAGCTTAGTAAGTTAGAGTCAGGGTAACTCCGTGCCCTAACAGTTATCTTTCTTTAAAATGGGAGCTTTATGTAATTGTATGAACTCCAACAGTTACATAGACTTTAAGAATGTAAAAGCAGTTAAAGCTTGAAAATAATACTATTAAACATGATCTAATACTTCTAACAGGCATTTGCTGAGATAATTGTAATGGGAAAAGGATGTCAGAAGTTAATTCTTTCTAAACAGTATGATTTCCAATAAGTTCTAGTAAGAAACGTTCCTTCAAATGATGCACAAACAGAAATATTTGCTTGCTTTGGAAAATTCATATTTGACATGGAGCTAATAGTTCCTAAGGGCAATATTTGATAGATTTACCATTGCTGATTTACAACTGTTGGATTCCATAATAGGACAGTTTTACTGATAGGGTGAAGGAAAGAGTTGATGTGATTCTACATGGCCAGTAAAGCCACAGTGATTGCTTAGAAATTCTTACCTTACAAAATGGCAATTTTTGTAATTTATTATGTTATCGTATTATAATATTACAAATAATTAAATTATCTATTGTTGCTTTTATCTAGACTGGTCACTCCCTGTTTTTTTAAAAGTACTTTCCTTCCAGAGAGTAGTGTTTGATCGAAAAAAGAAGGGTTGTATCTGAAACAGGATTTCCCTTACTACCTAATATATTTTGGGCATTATCCTTCTAAGGCAGGGGTGTCAAACTCGTGGCATCACACTGTCATCACATAACATATCGCAACTTCCCCCCCACCTCACTAAGCTGGGAGTGGGCGTGGCCAGCACATGACGCATCTGGCCTATGGGCCACAAGTTTGACCTGTTCTAAGATATCTTTGCTGAGACCCTGTTTTATATGCAGCAGCCAAACTACCTAGCATCAACTATTAGGAACTTTCTTTCCAATTTAGTGCTGGGGGAGGGAACTGGAGCTGAGGGATATAAATGGTGGTATTCTTTATCTCTGTCAACTAATATTCATTTCTCTCTCTTGCAGGTTCATGGAACAGCATCCAGAAATGGATTTTTCCAAAGCAAAATTCAACTAATACAATTCCCCCTATTTTTTTTTTCTCCTTTCCTGGCAAACATTCAAATTGTAAACAGCAAGAAATGCCTTTCCCTTTGGGATGATGCAAATACTCATATCGCTCCACTTTGGGGTTAAAAAGAAGTTGTACTGTAACTCCATATAATATACTGCTTAGACTTGTGGATTTTCAACAGCAGCATCAGTTATCAGAAGTCTGTCCTTCATCTTTGTAAGGCAATATTTTAGGGAGATGAAGGATATAAATGGGAACTGTATTTGGGAACTGTAATAATTGCTTTCCCTTGGGCTTCATCAGTTTTGGAAAAGCTGGGAAGGTATCATTTAAAAAAAATGTTTTTTTTTTAATCTGAAGTTGATATTCATCCTTGATCATACTCTTGCTCCTAAATAAAGGGCTGGAAGTCCTACCTTCAAAATAACATCACAATCTTGTTGTTTCAAAAACCAAGCAACCATGATACAGATATAATTCTGTATAACAACCAGAAGTGGCTTCAGAATCAATCAAAGCACTGACAATCTTTAAATATTTTTGGCATGTTCCCTTTGAGCTATCACTCCAAGGTGTAGCACTGCAAGCATGTGTGTTCTGGGTAAATACAGGTTGCTATTTAGAGGTAACAGGAGCAGCTTCATCACAGATCCATGTATTTGATACTCTTTACTATTTATTATCTTCGGAATGAACACTGCAATCATAAAATGTGAAACCTGGTGTATATTTGTCCAGGATTTGGGATAGATTGCAAGAATGCTAAGCTCTTTAATAATGTGATATGCTGGTCTTATTTTCATTCTTGTCAATTTTATTGTCCTCCACTGTTTCCCCAAGCCATTTTGTAACTTACCTCAGAGCTTTGATGAGAATAGACTCAAAAGTTTGAGAAGCTACAAAATGCTTCATTGTTTCTGTTGCAGTATTGAGGTTGGGGAGTTTCAAATCCAATCCACATCCAAGGAAAATTAGGATGTGGTTATTATATCACTAATTCCACCAAGAAATCTAAAGAGTTATGCTCAGCTTAAGTCAGTCTCATGAGTTGTGTTGACATGAGGATATGAGATGCCAACAATAAGGCTCTTCTGGTGTTAAAGGGGATGAAATGAACAAGAAGCAGGTCTCTGGCTTGCTGAAAATGAGCTGCCCACCTTGTCAGATCTCTTCTTTTCAGAGTTGGACATGTCAGTCAAGAACATTTTGTTCTGCTTTGTTGCTTACAGATAGCTCGTATTCTGCATGCACGATTTAAAAGGTGATGCTTTCATGCATTGTCAAACTCATGATTAACAGAGTGCCCAGGAGCAAGCTATCCACGATGATTAGCAACTCTAAATAAACTCTTCTGTACCTTTCTGCTCTCTTCAGTTAATACATTTGTCCGTTGCTCGACTCCACTGAAGAAAATGAACAACAATAGAATATAAGGCTACTTCCAGAATACTAGACAGCCTCCAGCAATGTGTGTATATAAAATGGAGGAGGTGCATACACTTTGGGTTCCCAAGAGTAATGTCTTTTGGTAGTTTTGGGAGTAGAGATCCAGCATTCCAAGCCTCTATGGCTCATGGCTGGGAGTTCTGAACCTTGCAGTTGTACCACATCTGGAGGATTGAAAACATCTGGGAAAAATAGTTAATTTCCATCAGCTCTAGACTATCAGATGTTTCAAGCACTTGATAGTGTTTCTTCCCTGCTAGAAACTACCTGTTGTTACTTTCTTCTTGGGCTGTGCAGACCAATGACCCAAGGGGGAAAATGTGCTTGATTCATTGGCATGTCAACTGATGTAGTGCGCATGCTCCAATTCCCCCTTTTCTTTTGAATCTGGATTGCCACATAGCCTTATTTTCTGCCATGGGGCAATGGTATTGATTGCCTCTGCATTCTTGTCATCTCAACCTTAGACCACCCTAGCCAGCTTTTCCCAACATGGTAATGTGTATAATTTCTACATGTAGAAAAATAGATTGTGCAGCATTAGATTTTTCTACGGAAGCCTTGTCCACTTGTTTGGTGTCTTGCAAAGGAACCAACAAAAAAGGTGGGGAAGGGAAAACCTATAACTTTGCCTCCCCTCCACCCAATTAAGTTTGGAAATGCCATCACTGAGAAAGAAAAGTAAAGTTTAAACAATTTGGCAGCTATTGCTCTGGACTTACTGGAGCCTCTGCTCAACCTGAATTTGTATTAAATAGAAAACTAGCACACTATACCTTTCCAGTATCTCTCTGAATAAGACAACCACCACACTTTCAGGCATAGTGAGCAAGTTGGCTCTTTTTTTTTTTTTTTTGTCCCTTGCCTCTCTTCATTATTAGCCAAGAGCAGCTGTCTGAGTTAAACAATCCTTAGATTACATGACTTCCAGGTTGCTTATTCCAAGGCTAAAACTTTATGAACTGTTTGCATAGGACTCTCTTTGTTGGATTTGAGTTGTGTGTGTGTGTGTGTGAAGTGAACTCCTTGGCAGTGACCCCTATCATTTCCTGAAACCTGATTACAGACTGGAGCCTTGGTGCCATGGTACAGGCTGGGTTAATGACTTTGTTTATACTGATACCAGCGATCCTGTTAAGGTCCAAGTCTGCTGGCGCCTTCATTGAGAAAATGGTCCTCTGAGCCACGTGGAGACCTCACTTCATTCTAACCAATCAGCCCAGGGCAGCCCTTGTTTTTCAATGAACTGCTGCAGCTCATCAGCGGGAGGTCAAGGCTGCCGAAGTGGGTGGATTTATTCACCCATTCTGGAGCCTTATAAGCAGAGATGATAGCAGCCAAGGAGAGGACAAAAGAAGCCGCAGAGTAACAAGAGCTGCAGCTCTGACGGGGTTGGACGCTTGCAGCAGCAGGCGGGAGGAAAAGCACTTACTTTGATTGTGCTGAGTGAGTCAGCTTGGCTCTCGCATGAATATGGAGTGTGAGAAGTGTCCTTGTCATCACGAGAACAGCAGGAATGCCATTCTCTACACCCTGTTAAGTGAGAACTTGACTCACCACAAGGGTAGCTGTGGCTCTTCCCAACAGCGTTGCTTGTGCCACAAGCGCCGTGCTGTTTGCCTTCAGACCCCACAAGCTACCTGCCAGGCAGCCTCTGACGTCTTGGTGAAGACCATCAGCTTCATGAAGAACCTGCCTTCTTTCCAGCTCCTGCCTTGGGAAGACCAGCTCTTACTGTTGGACAGCTGCTGGGCTCCCCTTTTCCTTCTGGGCTTGGTGCAGGAGACGGTGACCTTCGAGGTTACGGAAACCCCTGTACCCAGCATGCTGGAGAGGATCCTTCTTGACGGCCAGTGCAAGAGACAGGAGTTGCAGAGGGTGCAGCCCACCTTGGCCAGCGTGCAGCACCTCCAGCGCTGCTTAAACTCTTTCTGGAGCCTAGACCTGAGTCCTAAAGAATATGCCTACCTGAAAGGTGCAATTCTGTTCAACCCGGGTAAGTGCCTTGTCCCCATGCAGGGAAGGTCATCAGAGGGCCATACTCCACACAAGGTTTTTCTCCTCATAACTGATGGGAAAGCAACCAATATTCTTCCATAGACTCTCAGTCTTGGCTAGTTTTATTCCTTTTAGTGAGTCAAACAAAAAATTAAGGGAAGAGGGTCATAGATATGCTGCTGATTTTTTTTAAAATCCAAGGATTAAACTTTATATAACCAAAGCAGCATCAAGCATTGCCAATTGAACAGTAATCCATCTGTTGAGGCAGTTTTGCCACTCAGGATCACTTTTGATAATGAGATGGGCAGTGTATAAATGTAATAAATAATTGAAATTCGAGAAATTAATTTCCAATTCTCTGCTACAAAGATACATGCAGTACGCACCTTAAAAAACACAGAAAACTAAAAAGTATCTTGAAACTGCTCAACAGGGCAGAGTACGTTCACTGTTTTGTAAATCAATGAATTTGTGGTGTCGGATCTTAGAGGAAGGGGGCCTTTTTGTGGATAAAAGCACTCTATGCTTTATTAAAATATCCGCAAACTTATAGCAAGGCAAAAACTTAAAGAGAAAGGATTTTTCTTGTGGATAAAGGAAACTGCTTTTTAATTCTGTGTTCAGCAGTGATAGTATTAATAAAATACTTGATTACATCAGGAGTGTCTTTTTATACTATTAGAATTTTTTTTATCAAATTAAACAAAGCTGCAGATTTCATTATCTCAATTAAAAGTGGTTTCTACTGTAGTATTTTTGAGAAGCAGCCCAAATAAACCTCCTTTACCTTCCTAGGCAATTCCATACAGTAGTTTGGGGTGGCCTTTTCACAGTACGGTGGAAATTCTGAGGCAGCCTTATAGAATCAGTTTTCTAAGAAACCAAGTACTGTATTGTACTGTACTAGATATGAAAATCTGTGAACATTTTTCAAGGAGATATAGATAGAAGGGTGCAGAATGCAACAGTTCACAGCATCTACCACACACAAAAATGCAACCTCCCAACCCTTTTAGATGTCAGCTTCAGAACACTGCAGGTTTTTTAAAAAAAATTTAGGAATAAACTTCATTCTGTCCACCCACTGAATGGCAAATCTTAGTCATCAGCTTTTTCCAACTTGAACCTGGATATCACCAATCAAGCAATCTCATTAGTGGACATTTGTATTTATTGTTGTGATATTCTGCACCTTCAATCGAAAAAAACTGAGGTGGCAAATAGCATTCTTCTCTGTCTTCAAGTTCACTTTCTTCACAGTATCCCTTGCAGATTGATTACCCTGAGACAGAGTATGAGCAGGCAATACCATCTCATGAACTTCATGACTAAAATTAGAGGTGCTAGAACCTCTCTTAGGTGGGCACCTGATCCTTCTGGACTGTAACTTCCATTCAGCACAGGAAGACCTCATTCCTAGAATTATAAGCGCTTCTATTTTCTTTTAATTCAGCTTTGATTGACCTTATCCTTCATTGTTTATCCACCTCTAGGCATTTTTAGGAGGACCTTAAACTGCTTTATGGAAATATTAATAGGAGTCACACAATAGCCTGTAACAATGTGCAATGGCTTCATAATGACGTTTAAAAACAAGAGGACCATGACAGAACTCTAATAGGTTTAATATAAAAACTTCTATTTTGTGGGGGCCCTTCTTTCAAATGTCCCTATCAAATATCTGTTTGCAGGATACTGTTTCTTCCTGAATAGATTTTTTTTTTTTCTGGGAAGGAAGGACAATAGAGAAATTGAAAAGAATTATAAATTGGAGGGTTAATATCAGCAGCACCTCTCATAGAAGAGGTTTAGGAATAAATATTGAGGAATAAATAATGCAATTGAACACACACTAAATCTAATGGGTTAACTTTGCATAATTTAATCTTCTATCACAGGCAAATGAAGGAAATCAGATTGCCTTTTTAAGGATTCTGGGATTAATTTCAGATTCTCTCTCCCCTCCCTCTCCCTCCACCCCTTCCAGACATTCCAGGTCTCCGGGCTTCCTCGTACATTGAGAGCCTCCAGCGAGAAGCTCAGCAAGCACTCCGACAGGTCCTAGTGCTTCTCCACTTAGAAGATCAAGGTCGATTTGCCCGAGTCCTGCTGAGTTCCTCCTCCTTGAGATCCATTCCCCCAACTCTCATTACAGATCTTTTTTTCGAACCCATCATTGGAAAGACAGACATTCTTGAGCTTTTAATAGAAATGCTGCTGATGAAATAGTTTAAGTAACATCCTCGTGCTGTTGGGTCAGGCAGCCCATACTTTGCTTGGTATTCGATTCCAAGAGAATGCACAATCAATTTTGGAACACACGATGGACAAAGAATAACATCTTAGCAGCCACTCTGCAGACAAAGAAGATACTGGTGGATGAAGTCATATTTTCTTCCTGAACAATGCAAGAGTGCAATATGCACTCAAGCCCTGTGAAGTATTGTACTTGCAACAAGGTTTTTGGAGTAGGTAATTCCTGTGCTAGCATAGCGGTGTTTGTAGCAAATGTATTGGCACCATAAAACTCTGCCAAGTCCTCGGTGCTCGGTGTCATCAGTTGTAGTTATGGAATAAAAGCCCTGACTGAACCAATCTTGTTCAAACATGCCTGCAGCTCCAAAGTGAGGCATACAGTATTGATTTTTTTTTCTACTTCATTTATATTGGCTTCAGTTTCAAAGTTCAATTCTATAGAAATGTCTTGCCTACAGAAATACTCCTGGGAACTGCCTTTGCCTGGGAAATAACCCACAGATTCCCTTCCAAAATATAACCCCAAGGATTTCCTAGTAAAAAAGAGTCAGGAGGCCTTTCAGAATACAACCAACCTCTCCCAGTTCCTAAAAAAAAAAAAGATATGCATATAAATGCAACTCATTTTTCTAAGCCATTTTTAAAATAAGAATATTGACCTGCATAATCATAGATTCCAATCTTCAAGGGCAAACACTTTGCTTTAAGGTATCCTGACTTTTGTATAGATTCGTGCATTGAGGAAAGCTAAGGTCAGAAAATGTCAATTTCCTTTATTCATCATTTTCCTGCTCGACTGGGGTTTCTTTTCCCTCCAGCTTGCTTCGCATAGGTTGCCTAAAGCAACTGCTTTTCCAGTTTATAGTGCTGTTTCTGTGCTGGTTCATGCCCTCTTTGCACAAATTTCCAATGTTTGTATTTTATGAGCAGGTGCTTCTTGTGATTTGTATGTAGTAAGAAATTTAAGTTATTGTTTTTTAAAGAAAAAATAAAAGCATTTGCTGTTTGTTCTGTGACTGTTTATTAATGAACGCTGAAAGGATATATACATCTCTCTCCAATTTCACACGGTGTCTGCATTCAGAGATTGTCCTAAGCCAAAATCAAAACGTACATGGCTCGTTCTGGATATCAAAGGGCATTACTACTTCAGTAGTTTTTGAAAGGGTGGCCAGTCGTACAGCAAGCAGGTTCTATGTTGAAAGGTCAGAGAATGAGACTATGCCTATTCTGAAGGAGAGAAGGTTGATGGGAACATAAAAGTAATCTTGGGATACTTGACCTGTCATAAGATTTCTTTCTTCTCAGCTTTCTCAAAGGGCAGAAATCTATTGAGGAATGTTAGAAAACAGTTTGACTACCCTTGAGGTGGTGACCTCTTTACTGTCTGGAAGTCTTTCAGGATAGTTAGACATCTTGGATGGAGAATTTTCTATGGTAGGTTTCTAAGAAATGGGCCCCAGAGCCCTCTCCAATTTATAATAGTTTCTCTATTGTACCAAACTGTATTTCTTTAATAAAACTCCAGATGGCTGAACTAAGGATTCTTCCACACATTAGCCTAAAGCTGCTCATCTTCCATGTGGAGACTGGCTGGAATTGAAGGTGGCTTAAGAAATTGCTGCTGGATTTCAATCCATACCCCTTGGCACTGAGCGGAGGCAACCGTTCTGGCCACACAGACATTACCATACCTGCCAACTTGGGGGATTCCTATGCTTCTTTACTCCTTAATCAACATATGCTAGGAAAGCAAGGACCAACCTCTATCCTTTCTGAGAGCAACTCTTGGAGAAGTAGTAGTTTCCACTGATGGTCCTTTCTCATAAGCCCCCTCTTTGAAATTCGACTTGTACTTGGAACCTGCCCATCCAACAAATCCACTTGGGATTGGGTGGTGCGGGGGAGCAAAAATATATCCTGGTATTCCTCCTGTCAGGTAGACTAATTAAGGAAACTGGCAAAACTCTTTGTCAGTTTCACCTGGCTTAAAAAAAATAGTCCATTGTTGAAGAAAAAAGTCCACATTACAGGTAATCCTCAATTTACAGAAGTTCATTTAGTGATCATTTGAAGTTATACAGCACTGATAAGTCACATGATCATTTTTCACATGGCCACTGCAACATCCTCAGTCATATTGTTGAAAGAAATATCCTTCTGGGTTCAGGGGAAAAAGGTACTGAAAACATGGAGGCTGTTTGGAAAGATGGTTTAATGGTGGACAGGAGGACCACATGGCTTGGAGCTCCAAAGGGAAAAGGATGATCACAGGCTTCAAGATGTTGGGTGAAGGAAAAGAAGGGCTGAGATGCTGAGAGTCTCTTATATACCCAATGTTCGGCCCCACCTTAGTGTTTCCTGTTCCTGTGCAAGAAATATATCCCATTGACTGTCAGACTCACTGGGGTGGAGGTCTTTGCTAACTTTGTAGGCTTTGTCTGGACCACATGGCTTCACCTGAGTGCTGGCTGATGCAATCTTCCCAGGCCAGGTGGTGAGATAGCCTTTGTTATGTAGAATACTCTGGCCTAGGCCTTAATGGCCCACCCATTAACAAAGGTGGGGGTGAGTTTCTGCTTCTGAGTTTCTACTTCTCTTTTTAGGGGAAATATTCTGCTTTTTTAGTATATCCTAAAATATTTCATTTTCCTAGGAGAGGGGTGGTTTTTAACTTCCAACAATATGATCAATATTCAGATGTTTGGCAACGGACTTATAACTATGATGGTTGCAGTGCCCAGGGTCATGTAATCACCATTTGCAACCTTCTGATAAGCAAAGTTAATTGGGAAGTCTCATTTATTTAACAACCATGTTACTAACATTCAACAACTGTAGTGATTCAGTTAACAACGGTGGCAAGAAAGGTCATAAAATGGGGCAAAATTCACTTAACAAATGTCTTTTACCAACAGAAATTTTGGGCTCCATTTGGTTGTAAGTATTGCTTGCCTGAATAATTGCAACACTCATCCAGGAAGTAGCTACTTTGCAGAAATGTGTGTACAAGGTAACAGAAGGAGTCCCTGAGTCCCTGTAATGCAAAGGGACACCTTCTCCTGCCCAGATGCTGCCTCCAGTTTTGCACAATAACCAATAGGAATGCAGACCTTGTCCAGAAGAGGTCAGAGCCTGAGCGTCTTAATGGCCAAGTAATAGATCTCTCAGTCCAGAAACTGCAGTGCATTTAATACATGTTATTCAAGAAAACTACGTATAGCAAACATGTTGTCTAAATCAGTGTTTCTCAATTCAGCAAATTTAAGATAAATTCAACTCTCAGAATTCCCAGCTAGTAAGGGTTGCTGAAGTTGAATAACACTAGTTTAAATTCAGCGGCTAAGTGACTACTTCCCCATCTCTGAATTCCACCCTCTGACATTTCTGTAAGAAAAGCCTGGTTTATTGAGCGTCACAAACTCAAAGGAACTAAAGCTCGAGTTTTCTGTAAGCCAAAAGTATGTTTTCAACCAAAAAAACACAACATAACGTTGTATTTTTTTCCCTATGGATTTTTCTGTACGTTGGCCTTGATCTTATCTCTATGGCCAAGACGTAGTGCCCATTTCCGTTCAGTTGGTGACGCTATCAATCCGCGTCGCGAAGCCGGTCCCGCGCGAGGTCACGTGACGCATCCCAGGCGGATGCAAGATGGCGGACGTAGCTCCGGCTTCTTCATCCCCGGAGCGCGGCGACCGCTACTGCCTGGTGAGCTGCGTTCCAGCCCAGCTTCGCTCCGCCGATTTGCGCTCCTACTTCAGCCAGTTCATCGAAGCCGGCGGCTTCCTTTGCTTCCATTACCGGCATCGCCCTGAGCGGGAGGAGCAGCTGGGCGGCCCTTCAAAGCCAGGAGGGCGGACCTGCTGCTGCCTGGTGGCGGTGAAGCCCGGGTGGTCTCTCCGCTTGGTTCGCATGTATTCAGGCAAACGGTGGATCGACGCGCAGGGGGAGACGCTGCCTGGGCGGTGCGTCATACGAAGAGTCCGGATTTCCCCAGACAGAGGTATTAAAAGAGACCGAAGGGATGCCCGTCCTGGGTTCTGCGACAGATGTCGCATCAGAACCCGTGTTTCGTGACATCGTTTCTCCTTTTTGCGTCTAGAACAAACTGCGAGGTGGGAAGATGTGCAAAGCTTTTAGTTAATAATCCACTTTTTGCAGAGCTTTTTTTTTTTTTTTTTTTTTCAGCGTTGGTTTGTGTCAGTTCGGGATTGGGTTTTTATGGGAGATGTGTACATTATTAAACTAAAGGGAAGTGTGCTGACAGTGTTTAGGAACCACTGGTCTAGAAAAAGGGAGTAGGAAGAGGATTTAAGGCAGGGGTCTTCGAACTTGGCAAGTTTAAGACTTGTGGACTTCAACTCCCAGAATTCCTCCTCCAGTCATGTTAGCTCAGGAATTTTGGGAGTTGAAGTCCACGAATCTTAAACTTGCCAAGTTTGAAGATGGTTGATTTAAGGAGTCTCTCCTTGGTTATATCTGTTATCCCGTCATATCTCACAGGATAGGCATTTTATGGCTCCCATCTATTAAGGAATGTCACCTGATGGTACCCAGGAAGAGAGTCTTTCCTGCTCTGGCACCTGCCCTTTGGGGCATCATTATCTGGAACTTAAATTGCCCTGACTCTTCTGGCCTTCACAAAGGGCCTGAACGCTTGACTTCGCTGTCATGGTTGGGGATCCGGCAATGGTGATGTGCAGCCTGCTAGATGATTACATTGTTAGTAAATTGGATGACACCCTTGAAAATTATCTTTATGGTTTTAATAGTTTTAGTGTTTGTAATGTGTTTGAATGTTTTTGTATGAGTGTTTAGGGAGGGAGAGTTTTCGTTATTTGTTGTGTTAACTTTGTGAACTGTTCAGAGTCATGTATATAGTAATGGGCAGCTATAGAAGCTAAACAAACAAATAGAATTTAAGCACTACGTGGGAGCAGTGTGCAAACAATAAATACTAGGGCTGTTAAATATGGCCTGAAAAAGCTTGAAGACAGCTGTCATCTTCTGTTTTTTACAGCCTATGTCCAGGAGCCCTAAAGAATGCAAACTGTTGCTATACTAGCTTTCTTATCTGTATATTTATGTGTATATTCACAGAGACCGGTTTAATTTGTTACAAAAACAAAAAGGAGCTCCATGCCATCTCAAGTGAAACTTTTACTCAGGATGATTTTGAACGACTCCCTGAACTGAATCCTCCCGCTGTAATGCCTTATGGAAATGTGGGAACACCGTTGCGAGTCTTCTTAGAGCTTATCAGAACTTGCCGAATGCCCAGCCGTGTAATTAAAAAACTGCAGTTACAGTTCCCTAAATCTGGCTCATCTCGCAGGTATGGGAATGTACCATTTTCATACGAAGGAACTGATATTATTGTAGAAGAGGCGCGAGTTTACACAGCTACGGGAGAAGAAATAACAGAAGGAGACCACTTGCCAAGTGTAGAATTAGTAAATCAAGATGATGATACGGAAGAGAGAGACCATGAAGATCCAGAAAAGAAAGAAACAGATGACTCTGAACTGGATTGCGTAAGTAGTTTCTTCTAATTGTCAAACACGCAGCTATTATATATGTTACCTCGTTAAAGTTAGTTTATTTCTTTTGGGGGGGCAGAACATTATTAATGTGTACAAGCTAGAAAAGGTTCTTGTGAATCTGAAGTCAGAACTGATTAGCCTAAGCAACTGCAACGTGTTTCTGGCCTTTGGCCTGAGATATTTTTTTTTATATTCTCAAGACTGCCTAAGATAATTTAATGGTATGTACTCAAAGTTGTGTACTTTAAGATCCTTTATTTTCACAAAATACATAGCTAAAAGTTGAAAAAAATCTAAGGGGAATGTTAATTCAGATGGTGGGAGTCAAATCTTAGCTGTGTCATTCTGTTCCTGATCACCTGACTTCTGCTACAGGAGGATGATGATAGATGTGAAGAATGGGAACGGCATGAGGCCTTGCATGAAGATGTCACCAGCCAGGAACGCAC